TTAGGACCCCAATTATTCTTCTAAAATAAATAAATAAGAAATAAGATAAATGTGCAACTGAAGTATTTTTTTTGTCTTTAATACTTTAAGATAATTACTCGTGCCAGATCTGTTCATCTCGCTCCAAAATGGGAAAGACAGACAGATTTGTGTTGATTCTGATTAGGCAAGTAGTTATTTCACATATCTATAGCTAGAGCAATATTTCACATTTTTAAGCAGCAAATAAATGCTTAAAAAAAGAAACTGCATTTGGAACAAACGCTGGGTCTATGTGCACAGTCAAAACAATATTTAAAAAAAAAAAAAAAACAAACAAAAAAAAACAACAACAACAACAAAAAAAACATCACTGGGAACCAGTGATGGTTTCCGCCAGTTTTACCAGGCGGAACCAGAACATGTTGGAGGTTATGCATTATTTTCGTTTAACAATAAGTTTTCTTTAAGCAAGCTCTACTAAAATATGTCCACATTACTGGTGCTGAACTAGAACCAATTTAGGTGGATTGTAAGCCTTGTCAAAAACAATAAAAAAAAAAATAGCTCAGTGGTTCCGATAAAAATCTCTTCCATTTTTCCACCACAAACTATCATGATTGCAGAAAATGGAAAATATACGAAATGTATCTATTAGACGCAACATCCAACGCATTCCAACACGACTTCATGGGACAAAACGACAAACGGAGCGGCAGCAGGGCAGCGCGGCAGGATGCAGACATGCAGTAATGACAAGGAGGAAGTTGGCAGGATTTGTGGGGTTGATATGAACCTGTAGCTGGAACTCCCAGTGCTGCCAGCAGCAGGAGAGCCAACTAGAAACATTACGGACTCGGCTTTTATGGATAAACTCAATTTAATGAATAGACCTTTACTGATTAAATGCAGACACGTCATTTCCTTGCAATCGACTCAATCGCACTGCACCGCATCTCACATTTTTCCCTGTTCTTCCACAGACTCAGCTCCTCGCCTCTCTCCCTGTCCTGATGCCCAAGGTCTCTGCACGCACCAATCAGCGCCTCTAATAGTTTTGGCGTACCCAAATTGCAGCCTGCTCATAAAATGTTCCACACTCAAATTGGTTGCTCCATGACTCATTTGGTACTGTATGGGTGCCAAACACACAGGATGCAGCGTTGCCAAGGAAACATGATAAACAGACATGCAGGCTCCAGACTGAGCAGAAAGTTGAAATGCAGTGTTTCTTTAAAAAAATATAATCTAACTTTTTATTTTACATAATTTTATTGCACGTTTATGTAAGCAGCCAATTAAATTCCAAAAATATGAGTTATGTTACACTCACCAGAAAGTCCTGCTGTTCAGCGCCACTTCATGATTTCTTCCAAATCGTATTTTTTGAAAAATATCCCAAAACTTCAATATCACATTAAAACAATGTCCTCACTTACAAGACAAATATTCGGAATAGTGATACGTTTTCCCCTTGGAGCCTCTCTGTCCCTCGTCCCTCTCTGTCTGTCTGTGTCTGTCTGTCTCTGGGCAGTTATTCCAGACATGTTTGAGGGCTCAGCCCCAGCCAAATATGGGCGGAGGGCGGTAAACAAGGAGGCACAGTCTGCCTGCACCGTCACTGATCTACTGTACATTACACACAAGTTTGTATTTGGACCTTGAATTGACATCAGTTCATTTCTGTAACTGCATTTACACATAACCCTAACCATTACCAGTAACTTTAAGTTAAATATGATTCATATCATAAATCTAAATTTTACCTCTTATCCTAAAATTAGTACAGATCAGGATGGAGACCAAGGCCACATCCAAATCTTTCTTAAACTTTCAATATTTTTAACAACATTGGAAGTTGTTAGAAATATAAATAAAGAATAAAAATTAAAAGTACCTTTTAATGACTACATCTACAAGGAAGATCATAGTCAAAGATAATGTTGTTTGGACAAAAGAGCCTAAGATGGAATTGTTCTGTCAAGTCAAGCTTTTTAGTGTATAACATTTCAGCAATGAGGCAGTTCAGAGTCCTTTGTGTGACAAAAACATAACATAATTAAACAAAATTACATTACTGAGGCAAAATTAAGAAAATGAAAAAGTTGACATGCAGACTAGAATTATAGCAGCTCTACGCAGTTCCTTTAGCCTTAATTTAAAGGAAGTCACTGTTTCATCTGTTTTCCAGTTTTCCAGAAGTTTGTGGTTTATAGAAGCTGAATGCTGATTCTCCATGTTTGATTCTGGTTTTAGATGTTGAGCAGAACCAGAACCAGAAGACCTGAGAGATCTGGAAGGTTGATCCAACAACAGCAGATTTTTTCGCCGTTCAGTGATTTATAAACCAACAGATTTACATATTTTAAAGTCTGTTCTCCGAGCTGCAGGGAGCCGGTGGGAGGACTTTAGACCAGCCTTGTGTTCCTTCCAGAGGATGACCCAGTTTGTCTGTTTTGAAGCTGATTTGTTGGTGTTGGTAGTAAACAAGCCCCTCCGAGGCGCAAGCAGTGGCCTTTTGACCCCTCTGAAACTCCAGGCTGGCAGCTGCTGCCAAACTACAGGACTGCCTTTGAAGCGATGGAAACACACAAACTGCATTGCATGCACACACACTTCAACAGGAAATCACTGCAAAAGATAAGTGATTAAATTTATCAACTGGGAAAGATTGTTTTCCATCACTGCTGTGGAATTGTTTAAAATCAGTCACTCTGGAAGATTATGATTCAAGTTATTTACCATAATAAATAAAATATTTTTAAAACTGCCTTTTGGGATTTAGATTAGTTTGATGAGCTGAAACATTGAAATGTGACAAAACAGAAGATATCTATAACCAGACAAAAACTCTGTGCGCTTTAGAAACCACTCTGACTCCTAGACGTTAAATGCTAATGTTAATGCTAAAGCTAACAGGCAAAAAAGGATTTCTCCTCAAAATTCAACAGCAGTTATAATGTGATCCTGGAAAGTCCACTGAGCTGAAATGTTATGCTCTCCAACCATGCAGACACGTTAAAGTTCCTCATCTTTCAGGGTCCATTCATATAGAACCTCGCAGGATGAAACATACATTTAGCACCTGCACAAATAAACAGGTCTAGATTCTGTAAGTGAAGCCTGATAGCTGTCCTCTGAGCGGTAGCTTGTAAAAATAGGCCTCTCTGTTCGTTAGCCCAGCATAGCAGAAAAAAATATCCAACTAGGAAAAAAACTAAACTGATGAAGAGCTTAGGTATTTCTGAGAACACTGCAGCCCCCTCTGCTGGGACCGAACTGGGAATCCTGGTGATTCCCATTGACCTTCTTTGCAACATGGCAGCAACCTCAACGGCTCCCTGGGGACATGCATGAAAATGAAATGGGTCTTTGAAAGCTGCTGAAAATGAAACAAATAGCGTCTTCATAAAGAAGGGGAACGCGGTGCAGGAAGGTTGGGAAAGGCTGCCAAGTCCAGCTCTACTGAGACTCACAAGTCCTCCTGTCTGAGCCGATTTTTATGGAAGTAATCATGGAGCTCATCATCACTGAAAGGAGCCCAGGGACCTGGTGAGATCATCAGATGTTAAGTGATGGCAGGAAAGTCTTCTTTACATTGCATTACTCAGTTAAAATCTACGGAAGGCCATTTCTGCCAACGTTAAGAATAAAACGTTGTGCTTTTAGCTGCTGTCACCGCGGCAGGTTTTCTACCAGCTTTGCAAATAAACTCAACTTCTGTAATACGGAGAGCATTTGTGGACAATGATTTCTCCATCTCTATCTCCATCCCATTTTGTCCAGTATTGTTGTTCTGTCACACGATATTTTACATGCAAAATCAAACATAAACATATTCAAACACAGAAACATTTTTAAATACACTGGAGTTTACAGTTTCGTGGTGAAGAAATGTGTTGAACTACAATTTTTATTTAACATATCAACTCTTCCAATGACAAACGGCTGCATCCTAAGTACACAACAGAGCATTACAGCAGACCCTTCCCCCCACTGTAGAACCATCAATAAATATTTACATCCCTGTAAATACTTTTAAAAACCATTTTTTCTGTCACTGCACATTTGTTTTTTGCACATTTTTTTCTTTTTCATGTATTGTTAATAGTCTGTTTTTAATACTCAAATGCAAAATATTTATATTTTGATATTTATTTTCATGTTTATGAAAATAAATATCAATCTGCTCAGTTGCAGATCTCAAGTAAGCCCTTTCTGATGACTGCATGGTATTTTTATTATTACATATTATTAATTCCATTATTATTTCAAACCTCGTTTAATACACAGTTTTAAAACTTTTTGATTTTTTGTGTGACTCTACATACCTTGATGCTGCTACTGCACCTGAACTTCCCAATTGTGACAATGAAATATGTTTCTATTCTATTCTGTTCTATATCTGGTTTGCCACTAGAGGGCTCTGTTCATGAAGAAGTTGCAGAACTCAGAGCCACATGGAGCTTCCAGGTATATCATCAACTTTCTCTCCAACATATTTAGCTTCTATTTAAATTCTCAAACTCCCGACGGAAACATTAGCCGTGAGCTCAGCAGCTCGTTGGAGTTGATCCTAGTAGGTGTTTCAGTTTACAACAGTCCCCCCACCCGGGGGGTTAGCTTGTTGCAGGGTGACTGACGCCCCCCTATTTCTGCAGTGGCTATTTAAAGAGCTCAATGACAGGACAGAGGAGGACAAGCAGGGGGTGTGAAGCTTCACAGGCAACAAAAATCTGGAGCTGGTTTCTGTTGCTTCTTTTCTTTGTGATAAGTTTTTGCTTTTTAGTTTTAATCATAATAATAATAATAATTTGGTTTTAGGCACATACTTACTCCCTTCTGAGGGGGCTGAATGAAGCTTTCAGGACAGATTCTGAATTGACAAACCTTTGGTTTCAAGTATTTGCTAAAATATATACACAATCTACTATCTTATGGAAACTAATAATTAAATTGAATTATAAAGCTGAGGACTTTGAGACAGAAAATGTCCATGTATGGAATGTGTGAGGACATACCGTTCTCTGTGTCCACTGCGTCCTCACTGGGATGGCAGAAGCTCTCATATGAGTCCCAGCGGATCAGGGGGTCCTGGGTGTTGTAGTCCACAGAAACACTTGGCCCATTCTCCAAGTGGTCCAAACCTAGTGTACGAAATTTAAAAAGCATTTTTAGTTGAATTATCTCTTGATGGGTAAACTGGGCATTCAAAGTGGTTAGGAAGTTGGAGTACCTCTGATTTTTTCTGGTCCGTAGGAGAAAACAAACTCCACCTTCCCGTACTCTGGGAACCTTTCATCTGTACAAACACACAGCAGAGGGCAACATGCATCTTTGCCTAGAACTGCATGAAAGTTAATAACACTGGTGAAGTATGACCCTAATTGATTCAGAACATCTTAGGACATAAAGAGCCAAACGCTTCTCGATCACCAGGACGTGTCGTCAAATGTTCTGTGGACATTTTAGGTCTGAGTTCAGTCAGACATGTTGGTAGCGGTGCGCTGGTCTGGTCTGGTCTGGTCTGGCCTGCTGCTTCATGACCTGAACCTCTTGGCCAAATGGAGTGTCCTATTTAAAGACGGATCTTAAATCTGTGATCAAAAACTCAAATCAAATCTGGCTCAATATAGACAATTATTTAAATAAAAGTTGGCTAAATTTCCGGCGTAGTGATATAAAACATTCACTAGTTATGTTTCCATCAAATAGTCACACGAACTTTGAGCAAACTTTTGAAATGTCACAAGAAATTCAAATTGTGTTTTCCATCTACTAGTTTAGAGTGAATCAGTCAGGCTATGAAAAGTGGAATTTCATCAGATGCTGATGCTACACATGGCTGTAATAAACAGAATGTAGATGTTGGATGACACGGCAGAAACATAAAGGTTATGAACAACATGGTAGATAAATTGATTGTGAGATATAAAATGTGACATGGCAGAAAATGACTGCTTTTCCTCTTCAGATAAATATACAATTAGAATTAAAGGTTGTCTTTTAATTTAGCTGCCCTGAAGGGGAAAAACACAAGCTATAATTACATAACCATTCTTTTTATCTTCATCTTTATGATTTCTTTATTCAAAAGAACAGTTTGTTTGGTTCCATTAAAATCCTAATAAATCCTAAATACAGAAGAAAAAAACATGTGTCTTCATAAGATCCTTATTTTGTTTTGTCCTAAAAACAATTAGCATTAAAATGTCCATGCTTTGCTAATGTTATCTTAATTTGAAGCTATTGTTCATTACAGACAATTATCATATTGATATGTAGAAATAGTTTTTATAAATTTTCTATGTAAAATTTGATTAAAATTGCATATCTAAATTATTTTTATTGAAAATGTAAGAAGAAATAATGTCAATACATTTGAGAATGTAAACAAAAAAAAAAAAAAAAAAATATATATATATATATATATATATATATATATATATATATATATATATATATATATATATATATATATTAATCATTTATTTCAAACTAAATTGGAAGAATTTTAATTTAAAATTTATTATACATAAATAAATAGCATTGCATAATTTTAATGAAAATTCTAAAGCCAAATAAAATCACTTATACTTTATGGAACAATTAACTTTTCAATAGTACAGTTTGACCAGCAGAGGGCACTGTTGATTATTAAACTCTAGGCATCCTGTCTTCTGCAGTCAGACAAAATTAAGCCTTTGACTTTGATCTTTATGTCCAAGTGTCTTTTTTTTAACATGCAAAGAGAAATTATTTTATGACTCATGCATATAATTTCACTATTAATAACAGATAATAACACCTTTGAAGGTCTCATCAAGCTCCGCCTTCCCAAAAACGACCCCAAGGTCGTGGATGGCACAGGTGTGGAACTGGACCCTGAACACCACGTCTCTGGTTGGGTTCCTGTACCTCTTATGGTAACACTTCAGCTACAAAGAACAGAATATGAATTGTTACAACATATGGAATAGAACAATATAAGTATAAACAGATTGCAGTCCTACCAGGATGTCTCCTTTCAGAAGCAGCCCAGGTTCTATGGTGATGCAGATACTGGTGTTGCTGTCTCCCTGCACATTGCTGCCAAAGCCAAAGACAGTAAAGCTCTTTCAGTTGGGAATCACATCAAGTGTTAGTTTCTCTGCAGACTCAAAGCCAAACCACACTGAACTGGAAGAAAAGTTTCCATACTAGATTCCGGATGTGTAGACCGGCTGCATCGCCTGGTAGATCTTCAGGAACGGCCGGCATCCTGTCAGGAAACAGCAACAAGACGAATGAGACATGGTGACAAGCTGTGTCTCTCCTGCAGACCTTTGGCTGGGAAACTCACCGCCTTTGGATTCAAAGTTGGGTATGCCGTGCATGATGACATGATGCAGGAAGAGCGGCTTGTTGTTGATCTTGATGTGTCCAGACAGGAGGCCGTTGAAGTACTGCACATACCTGCAGACATACCATGGGCATCTTCAGTCTGCCCCAAGACTCCATGCAGCTCCCCGTCTCCACTCACAGTAGGTGGTGGTTTTAAATGGGGTCAGTTTTATAGGCAGCTGCCCAGGGCAACATTGAGAAACCAATTTTATATATTCCAGTAAAAATGTGTAAATATATAAGAAAAAAAAAACAACAAAAAAACAAAATTGGACTCAAGACTTTAGAAACACCATTGTCTCAGTGGCTCAGAGGCCAAAACACAATTTTCAGATATTAACTATCTTCCCTCCATGTTTTAGGGTTCTTCCCTATATCAGTTGGATTACCTTTTAAATTCTAACCCGGTTTCAGTCTCAGTATGACGTAGATTTATTCTCTTTAGGATCCGATGGAATAGACGGATGTGTACGGAGGGCTGCTAGGTGTCTGTTGAGTTAGTATAGTCTGGTTGTTAATGATGCTAATAATGATTGTATCAAAGGTAACCTTGACCTCCAGGTCTCCATGTACACACATCCTCCTTGTTCTCCTGTCAGTGACCAGATGTTGTGGTTTCTGGAATGTTCAATTAGCCTGACCCGAGATGTCATGGAAGCAGCTAGACGAAGAGCGAAGGAGCCACAGCTATAATATGATGGTTATTTATTTTTACCCAAAATATCGGTGAAACAAAGTGCATTTTAATTGTTTATGGATCATCGAGCAAAATCAATGCTCTTTTCCAGAAAAGGTGGACTTTTCTGGAAGAGAGCAGAAAAAAGTCCACCTTTTTTGTTTTTCCTTTAGGATAATTTTTGTAGGTTGACCACTCCTGGGCAGGTTCCCCACTGTCCTGTGTTCTTTCTCCATTAGAGGATAATGGTTCTCATCAGTCTCATCAGTGGTGGGTAGACTTCTGCGAATGCGCTAATAGTGGCACTAATATTTAATTTAGCGCGTTAGCACTTTTGCTAACTTTGAAAACGTTGAGAGCAATATACTATGTCATAACACATGCTGTGACATTGACACAGGCAATTTGAATTTAACTTTCAGTGCTTTAGCATTAGCTTTCACCAAATACCATGTAGCACTTTTGGCATTAGTGGAACTAATAGTTATGATTAGTGCTTTAGGGTTAGCACAGCTAACTTTTTGTCAGGTTAATTGGTTCTCATTGTGGTTCCATCTGAAAGAACTTTCTAACACTTTCCAGAGTGACAAATATCAATAACTAAAATGTAATTCAAAGATATGTACGCAATTTCATTTGCATAGGTAATTTGATTATTATGCAATTAAAATAATATACTTTATGTATTTGAAAGAAATACACTCTTAATTAATTTAATATAACTATACTTTAATAATACTAATTGCATAAACCTAAGGAGAATGTAATTAAATAAAAGAGCTTTATTCCACTGATGAACATGAATCATGTAAGGTTTATTTAATAGGTTTGCATTAAACTTATCTAAAAAGAAAAAGTAAAAGAAAATTTGTCATGTAATAAAATTACATAAACCGTAAAAATATATTTGATTTCACAATTCCTCAGTTTACTCAGGTTATCTTGGTATGAAAACAACATTTTGTTGAGGATGAAAAACGTTTAAATATAAAAAAAGTGCTAAAAGTGGTGAAATAACTTTTTCTTGGTTGTTTCTACAGTGAAACAAAAAAAAAAAAATCAAACTGCTTTCAGGATTTGCAGGATGTCTCATTCTGCTGATCTAAGGGTGTCTTCATGTTAACTCTTCAGTGGAATTAATTATAAAAAGTAGTTATAGAAAAGGAAGGGAGTTAATAATTTACCTTCTCTGTGACGGCTGACCGCCAGGAAGAGCTTTGTCCTCGTAGAATCGCCTCATGGCGAACCGGTCGAGCGCCTGGTCAGCACTGCATGGCATGAAATCACACAGATGTAATTATTCTAGATTTAAATTCAAAATCGTCCCTTTTGTTCTTATAAGACAAGCAAAAATCTTTTCACAACTTTATAAAAAATATCCCTTGGCTTTAAGTCCTCCTGGCTGGGGCCCATTTTATAACATCTGGTTGCATTAAACATGGATGCCATTTTTCCTCCGCAATGCCAGGAAAATAAACTAGCTAGGACGGACTGCTAAGCTAAAATATCACATCGGTGTTTAATATTCAAAACCTTCGTTTGATGGATTGTTACTCCTGTCCTCACATCACTTGAAAAAAAGGGGGTTTGGAAGATCAAAGTACTCAAATAACAGTTTTTCCAACAGCAACAGCCTTAAATCTTTTACCGTAGCATTGTGAACTTTAAACAGAAGCTTAGAAAGTAACAAAGGTGCAGTGATAACATGTTGCGTACCTTGCAGATATGTTGCTGTAGTGCATATACGCAGCCACTACTACGCCTGTTCGACCTCGATTCCCCTGCAAAACCACAGAACACACAAGAAGACGGAGTTAAAGTGAAGTTCGTGTTGGAAATACTGGAACAACTTCCTGAAAGTTCAGAGAAGAATTACAATGAACGTGAATGAGAGAGGGAGCGTGTGAGTTTCCTGCACTCTGAGGGGACTTAGAGGAAAACTATAAATCTTAGAACACATCCAGACACACCAACTGAAAGGAAAGGGAAATATCTACAATTTGATGTATAAATTATTTGTGTAGTATTAAAGGTATGACAGTGAGAAGAGTTTGTTCCCCCCAAAAATCTGCAGTGTAGAAAATGGGCTCGGCAGGAAAGTTGATGATGTCACACCAGGCAGGAAGCAGTGTGTTTGAGGTGTTGACTTAAATTACATCTACAGGTGTCCCTCCATCTCTGTTTGATGTTTTCAATTAACCAATTAGAAGCTTTCAAAGCCAGTTACCAAATCATTTAGTTATCTTAGAAAGCAATAAGATAACTCTGATCATCCAGACATCTAGCTAATAAAACAATAAACACTTTTTTAATTGTAGCTGATCTAAAACAGAAGTTTATTCAGATCTCAAAAATGGTTTAAAACAAATCTATTTTTTAAATGAGTGTTTTATTTTCAATAATACATATTTTTTTCTAAACATTGTTCGAAAGTTATTCTGATTTAATGTCAGAAAAAAAAAATCTGGAGTTCATGTAAGTTAAGTAAAATTGGTTCTAATGGGATATGCAAGGCTATATGTAATGATATAATAAATTCATGAAAATGTCTGAATTAAAAAAAATATGTATTCATAATTTTTTATGAATATAAACATTCATAATTTTTTTAATGAATTTATTTTCTAGCTTCCTTGTATTTTCACAGTGTTTTCTTCCTATTCTAATCCCTGAGTGTTTGGTCACCTTGTTGTGCAGCAGCACGACGTTGCGCTGGTCTCCGCTCAGCCACGTGTCCATGGCTTTGCACATGCTGCAGATCTTGTCCAGTGCCGGAGCATGATGATCTGGCCAGCCGAACTCCAGAACCTGATCAAATCATTCAGAAAGCATGAGCCCGTTTCACTTTTCACATTTCACTTCACTCCTCTCAAAAGCACGGCCTCTGCTTCCACCAAACAGTGTTCGTACCTTGTGGTTTAACTTGGTTAAGTCGTTCCGCTGCTCGCTCAAGTTGAGCACCTGAGGTGAATGAGACAAGAATGACACATTAAAGCGGTTCAGCTCAGCAGAGAACGGGTTCTGGGCTTGGACTCGTCTCACCAGGTAGTGTTCGCCGTGCTTGGACTGCAGCATGGTGGCCACCTCTTTGAGGTTGTTGGTGTAGCTGCGCTCATCGGCCGCGGCGGGGAAGGAGAGGGAGATGATCCTCTCAGTGATGTAGACCAGGTCCACCTCATAGCTCTCCTCCATGGCCTGAAGCACGCTGTGTGGCAGAGACACAGACATCTAATCTCAGTTGCTGCGACATCTTTGGGGAAAATCCTCCATTCCTCTTGGGAACGGATGACAAACATCCACTTGATCAAATCTAAACTCCCACAGCTCAGCCATGTGCTTCTTGGAAAGGCTACGGTTTACATTCCTGCACGGACTGTTGACACAACCTCTGCTGATAGCATGCAGCCTCTTCCACTGAGCAGAAATGCTTTAATGACCGGTGGGCATGAGAAGAAACATCTAGGAGGCATCCTAGCTAGACCATGGCGGTGGAAGATCCCTGCCTGTTTAGCCCCAAGTCCTGCTGAAACGCATAACAACGCTTTTTCAGTTTTCACAGAGAGGTGATCAGATTTTGCAAAAAAAGTTTGGATACTTCGGAGACTTTCTAAAAAAGGCTTTTAGAAAAGAAACAGACCCACAGCAGCACATATACTCTGCCATGCTTACCAGTTAGCATGTAGATATTGCTAGTAACTGTGTTGCAATTGCTTATAAAATGGCGCAAATTTGAATTACAAAAATAAATCTGCTAAATGGAAACATGTCAATTCCGACCTGTGGTGATTAGGATTTATCCACACTTTTTTCTGATTAAAATCAGGTGGATTTTGATGTTATTTCTAGTTGCAGGCCTCTTGGACCATGTTGTGCAGCGTGGATCCTCCAGAGCTCACAGCGTCGCTCAGTTCATCAACAGCTGAGTTTGTTATTTGAACGGTTTGAAATTTGAGCTCTTGCCGACTACAATTAGATTTTTAAAAAATGTATCCATATTTGACCATTAGGTTTGGTTATGGTATCATTTCAGATTTCTTTTTCAGATTTTTATTTCAAATTTAACAAAATATGTTGCAAATGATTTATTATTATTCACACTTTTTGTTTTTTAAGCTGGTCTCAGCCTTTCCTTGTTCAAAGTTCAGTGGTTACTATGGCAATTTGGTGAAACAATCTCCCTCATCCAGGAGGCATGAGGGAGACCAGGTCCATAGATGAGGTCTATGAGGTATATTTTATATATTTCATATATATATTAACCTTAACAGGAAAGGTTAAAATATAGCATATTAACCTATTATTATTTAATAATAATAATATGCTATATTTATTTGCCATAGTTCCAGTTGTTTTATTACTCTGACTATGATGAGGGCACGTTTAGGTGAGTTTTGTTCTAATTTCCTGAAGATAAACACAGCTGCCTTACTTAATTACCATGCTCTCAGGTATTTCCTATTTGAAGAGAAGGAAAAGCTTACTCTACAAATAGTCTTATGTCATATTCACACCACAGGAAGGAAAAAGTGCAGTTAATTATTAAATGTTGAAAAATTGTTAGAAGCAGGCGCTGGAATATGCTGGACAACATGTATATAGAATATTTACCCTGACTGCTTTCTCCGAATCTCCACACTTTTGCAGGACCTCGTAGATCCCTAAGGGAAACAGAAGGACAGAAGAGAAAAGATTCATCTGCAAACATCATGTTGTGTCACCTGGTGATTATATGTACTAACAGCCTGCCACAGATTGGTAGGGAAGAGGCAATAAACAGTCAAAACTGGAACAAAGAACCATGAAAACATGAAGTCTCAGAAATATTAAGCATTAAATGTAATGATGCAGGAAGTTGTTTGAAAAAATAAATAAATAAAATATCCAGCTGAGAAAAAAGTGAAAAAAATCCCTAAAATTTGAACAACTAGGCCATTGCACTATCTTCAAAAATTACAGCATCTGAAACAAACATAACTGGTTGAATGCATTAATTCAGCTCTGTCATATTAAAGCCTGGCTGCCAGTGCAGCTAAAAGCTTTCATGGTGAGCAGTGGTGATGCTGTCTGATTGACGTTAATTCGGACAAAAAAAATGCTATCATCATTAAATAGTTTATTGAAATTTTCTAAATGGACGGACGGACGGACGGACGGACGGACGGACGGACGGACGGATGGATGGATGGGAGTCACCATCCATCCAACCAACCAAATATATCAATCTATTAATCTATCTATGTAATCCAGATGTGTCAAACTCAAGGCCCTAGGGCCAAATCTGGCCCACCGTAGTTATTTCTATAGAGGGATGTGTAAATAAAACCTTTAACATAACAGTGTTATCAATAAAATAAAGCAGTTTTTATCTCTCCAGTCTTTCGCAAATCCACAATCATGGAAAATCAACAAATTCCCGAGTGTTTTTGCGATAATGCTTAATTGTGATTTTACTACAGAATTTCCACCAAAATAGTCTAAAACATTGGGTTTATGTGATGCTAACTCCCACCCGCAGGTAGCAATTATTAACAAACAGTTAATAACTGTTTGCAGCAGCATTTACTGCAAATACTGCAAGATATTTTGGAAATATTTGTAAATTAGCTCCACAAATAAGTGATTTTGATTGCCAAAATAAATTAAAAAAACAATCACAAAATCCTGGAGGAACCGATCAGTTTCAAAACAGGTTCAATATTATTTAATTTTAATACTTATCGAATCCAGACACAGCTATTTATTAATACTTTTGCAGTTTTATCAGGACATTCTGGTGCAACCGGCCCTTTCCTGATCTTAATATGGGCCCAAATTGGAAATAAGTGACACCCTTGATCTAACCCATCTACGGGGGCTAAGCGGTGGATCCTGGGAGCTGAGGGCCTCATGCATGCCAGAACCTCCACTGATTCAGCCAGTCTTGATTAGTGGTAATTTGATACATCATGCTGCATTTCGTCTCCTGCCTTCTCTGTCTTTGCTTCGCATTTATTTGAACTTTTCTTCCCTCCTTTTTGGTAGATATTCCCCTTCAACTCCATATTCCATCTGAATTACGCCTCAGTGTGGAGAAACTGATTAAGAATGCTGAGAATGTCTGATGAGTTTCGTTTTGGTCGACAGCGTCTGGAATTAGAGTCTGGGTCATCTGGCCTCAGTGGAGCCACCATGGTCACGACGGGCCGTTTCAGCACCAAACCGCCATGGACACATCCTGCATACCACAACCCCCCCACCACCTCTCCGGGAGGAACGATCTGATACTTTGAATGAAAAACCGAGCATATATGGGAAGAAATATCAAAATGAATCTGAGCTTCTTTTTGAGAGAAAATGAAAGTCACCATTTGTAAATTCCTGTTGCTGAGAATGCAAGAAAGAAGATAATTACAGAGTCTTTTTTTATTGTTATTATTATTATTCTGCAGAATTCTGTGTGAGTTCCTATAAAAGCTGGTGAACAAAGGGAACCATCTGTGTTTATATTGCTGCTCTGAGTCATTGTTGATCTAATTATTCGGGTAACATCTGACACAAACGCTGACTCGTGAGAAACCAAGGCAGAGAAAGCGAGGGATGTGAGATATCAGCGCCACTTTCATGTCTGTTTGCTCTACTCTGGAGAAAAAAAGGTGAAGAAAATTGCGTTTTAACAAATGTTCCGTTTTTTTCTGCCTTCTGCTTTAAATAAACAGTTTTCCTTCCACATTTGCAGCACTTCTCATGGAAACAAAGATCAGGAAAACACCTCAGGTCATGTCAGAAATGAGTATTTATTTAATATCTGGATAGATTTAAAAGAGTTTTAGACCTGATAAATTTCTCCAACAGGAAGACTTAGGTCAGACCAGAAGAACTGGATGGAAGGACGGATGCCAATCATTCAAGCCATGTGTTCAAATAAACACAGGTTTTGGATAATACTTGTTCCACAGATCAGAGTTGCACTAAGAGCAGGAGCATTAATGAATGAAAAGACTTACCGGAGTATCTACATGCTTTAGCGGCAGCTGTGGAGTGGGAGGCTGCAGAGACAGAGGAAGGGTCAGCAGATCACTGACTTTATTTCACCACAAGGAACAAACAACATGTTCAGGTTAAAGAAGAAAAGAAGAAAAAAAATTAATGGAATTAGAATAAAATATTCAAAAGGGCCAATTGGTGGACTAAATCTGTTTTAAGTGTAGATGACTATCAACTGGTCTTTAAAGTTTTTCATATCTAAGTTTTAGTAGGAATGACAGTCCCAAGTCTCTGGTGTTTTTTATTCATTTTTTGTGTCCCTTATGTGTCAAAATCATAGATCATAATCATTCCAATATCTTCATATTCATCTCTGCCCACATCCCGACCACTTTCATCACCTCTGAAGCTGAACACACTTTGTACACTTCAGTCTGAGCAGACAGGAGGAAGCGCTCAAGCTTATAGACGCCGACCTTTGACCCATTTGAACTACAATTCCAGGAAGTCCTTTCCTGGATTAGTGCAGAGGATTTCAAGACCAGTAACTGTCTGAAAATTTTCTCAAAGATCTCAGGATTGGTGATGAACTCGTGCTGAGGCTTTGTACTCACCGGCTCACAGCTGGTCGCTGTCTGACATGATGTAGTGACCTGAAGATGAAAAGATAGCTGATGAGTGAGGAGAGCAGGAGCGCAAAGACAAGTCACAGAAACAGCCAACAGTGAAAACATAAGCTCAACACAACAGCACCAGTGGACATTTCTGTTTATTTTCTCAACATAAATCACATTCATTCGCTTTAATTTCACTCTATAATCCTGCCTTGATTTTCCACGGCCCCCCATACAGCTCTGTGCCCTTTAGAGGGGGCTTCCAGCCTCGCTTTAAAAGCTATTATTGTGAGGAAAACAAACAGGGCTGAAGCAAAACCAGCTGCCTACAGATCTCTAAAGCAAGCCTCCATATGTCAACTTTGTTGCTTCAATCTGTTTCGCACTAATTATTAGGTAACTTTATGGCTTTAAATCAGTCAATTTTACTATGTTGGCTTCATTTATTTTATATGGAAAAATTTTTCTCTTTTTTTTTCTTTCCAGACCCAAATGGAAGCAGGTAATGATGCTCCGGATACAGAAAAGCCTTTATTAACAGAGAAACTGTAGTTGAAGTGAGTAACATTAGCTACAGGCGAAAGGAAGAAACATTAAACAAGACAATAGCTAAAACCTAACCTTCATCTGTAAGCAACTCGCATAGAAAGTCTATCTTCTACATGAGGATAGAAAAATTGCAACCAATTTAAGGCTGTCAACATTAATGCGATTAATCTAAAACGTTTAACTACATAATGCAGATTAATCTAATATTTTGACCTAAAAGTCTCACTCCTGCAGAGGGTTGGCTAGTTCACAGTGTGGTGTGGCACTACTGTGGAGTCACAAAAGCAAGTGAAAATATGAGAGAGGAGAGTCAGACTGGTGAGCGGCAAATTTCACTTTAAAAAACGCAGTCTGATCCCAAGATGACAACTCCTGTCTCAGAATTTAAATGCAGAACATTTTTGATTCATCCAGGTTTTTATTTCTTCAAGACATTGGGACTTATGGATTTGATATAGTCGAGTACCATCAGCACAACTGTGGAAATAATCCCATGCCATCTGGAAGCATACATAGTTAAAAGAATTGGCCTAAGCACTGAACCCTGTGGTACTCCACGATTATGGTTCTTGTCAAAACACTTTGCTGTCCGCCACAAATTTTGAGTCCAGCGGAAAGTGGGAGAGAGTTCAACTGGCAGGCAGGAAGCTGTTCCTGTCAGTGACAGATTTGCTAGGTATAATAACATGTGTCTGTTAGTAAGTATGTAGGTACCTCACAAAGAATATATAAAGCACACCCAACCCATGCAGTATCGCACATGCAATACACAAAAATGGGGGTTTTGAGTGTGTTTCCGCTTCTACTATGTTCATTGTACAAGCTAGCACTAGCTAGCAAGCTAATTTGCTAGGGCGGTATGGTAAGAGTTTAAAACTCTTGTGCGACAAAATTAGAATTAGTTATGGCCTTTTTATTGATTTCTGTCATCTGGAAAATTATCTGAGAGATAATTATAATAGTTAGAGTCATAACTTTAATGCTACTGATTAGTAGCCAACACCATAAGTTTAACAGTAAGTGATATAAAGCCAATATTTAAAGGACAGAGTATGTGATAACTTAAAGCTTAAATACCAAAAATACAAAAACATTTTTAAAGCAAAGCCTTTCTTGGTCTCCCTGGTCTGCATCCTTCTCCAACAGCTGCTCTTTTTGTGGTGTACTCTTGTATGTTTTGTTCTCTTTTTTGCAACCACTGTCCTTTCTCTGCTCTGTTTTGCTGCATAGCAAGTTTTCTGTAAACAGCAGTGTAGAACTCCCAACAAATGAGGCTAAATGGCACACACACACACACTACTGTGTGAAGTCACAAGCCAGTTCTTGTTGCTAGGAAAAGTATCACTTGTACCCTAATTTTACTGTCACCTCTAAATTAGCAGGGTGTTGATTTCCTGATGTTGCAATGCAACATGACGCATCTTTTAATAGCAGCCCGGCCATCACCGGCCCATTTGGATGTCAGAAAAGTTTTCTTACATTACCCACGCAAGTAAGTGGCTCCTAATAGTCTGGATCTCCCCCTGCGCATAAAATCACTGATTATAGAGCACAAACAAGTATTCTATGGCAACTTATAGCTACCATCTGATTGTATTTACTTAAGTGTGTACAGATAAACACGCACAGGGGAAGTTCATAAGAGAAACAGAGTTAAGTAGGAGCCTATAACACCTGGTATCCCATCATGCTGTGAGCTGACAGCAATTTACAACCATAGGGATGAGAACGCGCTATCAACGGAAAGCAGGCACGGCCAGGAAGGAAGCTGCTGTAATTATTTACTGTGGGAAAACAAAGAGCTCATTGACTTTGCAATCAAAGTTATCAACAGTACCAGTAGCTGGATAAGAAGCAATCACACCCATAGCATGTTGACGTGCAAAACTTAAGAGTCGGTCGACAAGTCGTCTAAAGGAACAAATATCAGAAACAGTATGAGAAGGTGATGAAGATAAAAGGGATCCAAGGAAAGAGTGGTACCTTTCTACAGATTTCTGCTACTTGACAAAACCTGGCTCTATCTGCAATCAGAGCAATGGTAACCTGGAGTTTTTCAGCCACAAACACTCCAGGGAGGGTCTGACCTGAAACAACTGCTGGATGTACGAAAAAACAATTTATGTCCACTGCTTAGTATGGTGGATCATCTGTGATGCTGTGGGTCTGTCTCTTCCTCAGGATGTAAGACCTGGTCTAAACCGTACAGAAAACCTTTGAAAGAAATCAAAGAGAAGAGGGCAAAAGAGAGTTCCCAAGACTCTGGACTATCCAGACAGACTGTGCAAAGAGCAAAGGTCAAAGGTCCAGTACTAAAATAATTTGAGACTTTTTTTCCCCCACATCTTTACCAGATGTCCAAACAAGAGTGGAGGAAACTGTAGTGTTTTTCAAGGAGACTGCATAAAGGTGTGCACTCATGTGAAACATGGCACCTAATGAGTGTCTGTGTGTTTTAACAGATTTGAACATATTCATAATTAATATCACTTACAACAATATTGAACTATTTAGGAAATATAAGTTTATAAAACATGCGGCAGCATGCTCAGTCCTGGTTGTCCAAGGAATTTCACTACCAGCAACAGGATATGTTTAACTTTCTAAGGAAGCTTGTTAGGAGGAAACCATTGGTCTCTTCAAAAGATGTGGCGGTCAGGTTACAGTTTGCCAGAGAGAAAGCAGACACCGATCAGGACTGGAATAAAACTCATTGGACAGATAAGAGAGAAACTGAATGATCTGTAAACCATTACAAAGGTTAGGTTTGGTATAAAGCAGCTACTGCCTTCCAGGACAAGAACCGTATAGTGCCTGTGAGGCATGGAGCTGAAAGTGTCATGGTTTGGGGATGATTTCCTTCAGCTCGACCTGGCTGAACTGAACACCACCATAGAAACCACAATTATTTAGTGTGCCAGAAGTTGGTTAAGGAAAAAGAAAGGAAAAAGTTGTTTGCAACATGGCAAGTGACTAAAACATACCTGGGAACCCCTCGAACCTCTGACAGCTGTTCAGATATCAGTCTGAGACATTTCAGACTGAAGTCAGACACTGGTAGAAGGGAACAGGAGCTTCTCATGAAGGGTATTTCAGCCAAACAGGATTGGACCTGTACAGCGTCTTACAGGTCCAATGTGTTGTGAAGCTCTGACTGAATCTTACTTTGATATTTTGAACTAAAGATTTTCTAGAATTTTCTATCTTCTTGTGAACATCTTGTAAGTAGAGACGACATTCTTTTCTGTCGAGATGTAAAAAAAAAAAAAAAACTTGTACAAGTCATGTCAGAACCTGAGCAGACAGAACACTAAACTCGGTCACTTTAAGGACTGTGAGGACTTTCCATAATTACTTCCCAGCCAGTCAGGAGTGTATAGTGACTAGCAGACCACAAGCAGGGAGCTTATACTCTCATTGGGTCACAAGGGGTGTCTGAGAAGGAATAAAACAAGAGGTCAAAGGAAAGACCCAAGGGGGGCTTCTGGAATCTTAGACTGGATAAGAGGCCCCATTAGGGGCCAAACAGAGGAGAGTTAAGGCCGGTCATTGTTCAATGCTAAAGGTCAAGTCTCTCAGGTGAGATTCTTTCTACTTTAGTGCTTTTCATATAGAGGTTCAGGATCACCAAGTATGAAAAGAGTTTAAATGATTTCAGAAAGGACAATCTAATATGTGCGTTTCAGCAACATTTGTCTTCATTTGGGGTTTTCTAACTGATATTCTCTACCTAACATTTAGGTTTTAACTCCAAAGCTGTGGTGTTCCAAGACATTTCTTGCCCTCTTGACCTGCTAGCTCAACCGTTACTGTGATCTTAGCACATCAACATGACCCTAGCTGATGGGAGAAAACATGCGTTTGCCACTGTGCATAAATCATCTCACGGGTTCCACTAAATAAGCCCGCCGTTGGTCCGACCGCACTAAGAATTCCTCAGGCGCTCCTTTCTGCCCACACAAGAGCTGCTACCACACTGATGGCGGCGAGCCCAAGGAAGAAAATTCTTCTCTTTCTAAACGCGGGGCCAAATAAGGACTGAAGCTCAACCGGGTCCGCTGTGCAGGGATTTATACATTGACTGGGTTTCTGTTTTACTTGGAGGTCTTTGCAAATTTGGCGGAGTGCGTGTTCTTTTCCATCTTGACACGATGTTAAACATGCAATACATGTTTGAGATATTAATGTTACAGAAAAAGGCAGTTTCAGTGATTGCTTATAGATTTGATTTTCCTCAATCTAGGAGCAACATACTCAATTAATGCTGATAGAGCTATCTCATAAGAGAACATTTTGAAATGGGTGATTGCACTAACTATTTAATGTAACTTAAAGTCAAAAACATTAGTCTTTGTTTTGTCTACTTGGTTGGTATAACTAGTGTTCATTGTCTACTAACATTATGTAATGACTGGGCAGTAAATACACTAGATGTTTGTATAAATACATATATTTTCTCCATAATTGTCCATGTTTAGATGATTGCTCAG